AACAAAATGAATTACAAGATGTTAATATCGCAAAAATTGTTGATCCAATTATGAGATGTATTGCCGATTTGAAATCTGATTTCCAAGCAAAATTTATCAAATTTCATTATGATCATAAGGATTCTACAAATAATTATTCTACTACAAATATATCATTAACAAATAATTCAACCAAAAGAATTAAAAGTATTAAAAGTGTTTTTAAAGGTGATGATGATGATGATTGGCAATCTATTGAATTTGAAAAGGCTCAAGATCAAAAACGGTATGATTCAGCAATTACTGCAGGAAAGTTATTAGATTTTCTTTTAACATTCCAACTTCCTGATGAAGCTAAAGAACGAATGAGTCAAGCGCGTCATATTCTTTGGGAAAAGACATTATTTTTTCGAATCACTTCATCCACTGAAACTATTACTCCAACAACAACAACAACAACTACTACTACTCCAACAACAACTACTAATATTACATCATCGGATTCCAATGATTCAATTAATTCTAATTTAACAAATACATCAGATAACAAGTTGAATTCATCAAATACTAAATTGAATTCTTTGATTAATCAAAATCAATCACAAACAAACGGGACAAGTGAAATCAATGAAAGAAATTTTACAAATGATACAAATGAAAGAAATGTCAAAGATCTTAACAAACAAGTTCCTGCGAAACCAAATCGTCGTTCATCCAATCAATATTGTAAGAACAAACGTCGACACAAAGGCAATACACGTACATCATCATCACCCATTAATAATGATGATAATAATAATATTATTATTAATAGAAGTAATGGAAGTAATAGAAATAATCGTAATAGTGGATCACAACAAAATTCATTACGAACAAATGCAAGATCGTTAAATTTCTCAACAAACAATACCAATAATACCAATAATACAAATAATACTGGTGATGATTCAAGATCCAATAGTTCATCTCGATCATTTTCTAATAGTGGTACTAATTTAATCAGTAAAAATAATACCAATACTAATACCAATATTAATACTAATACTAATACTAATACAAATACTAATCGTCGATTTGTTGGATTCTTACCTTCAAGATGTTTTACTTGTGGAGGAATTGGACATTATGCAAATACTTGTCCTAATAAAGGATCACATATTACAAATCAACAATCAAATCGTCAAAGACGTTCTACTCGATTCAAACAACGTAATATTAATAGTAATAAAGATAAAGTTATTATAGAAAGTGTATAAAACTGAATATATATTGTATAATTGATGAAAATCATATTATTGAATATATTGAATAAATTATATAATATTAATGATAATAGAATAAGTTTTAAATGAAATGTATATATAAAACATACAAACAAGATATATGAAAAATCAGTAAAATTATTCTAGCAAGATCTTATAATGATTTCAAAAATAAACATTTAATAATTAATGGTTTAAAATGTATAATACACTATCAATAAAAATAACAGATTATTATATATATCTTATATAAATTTTATATTGACAAATAAATTGATTACATATATTGATATAATGATAAAGTAAAATCCCCCTCCCAAAAAATATATTTATATTATTATTAAATAAAAAAAAATAACTTAATTAATTAATTAATTATCATCAGTTTCCATCCTTCTGAATCCGGAAGTTTCCTTAACACCATGATTTTTATTCCATAATCTAATTGACAAGAGAGACAATGCAA